AACAGTGAGCATTATGAAAAAGCGTACATGTGCCAAAGATGAAAGAATTTGACAGATGTCAAACAGATCGTTTATATTCGTTCCAAACTCCCACCAGTAACTAGTCTATTGGGCCCCATGAAACTTCCAATTAATCAACTGAAAAATACGTTATTCAGAAAGGTATCCTGTTTTTAAATTTCTTCCGAAAAGATTTTGTCATTCAAAAATCAAATTAAGATGTCTTGTCACACATGAATTCTACTATAAGTCACCTTTACGTTTCTTTAATTTTTTCATGGCACTTTGCTTCATTTATTTGTAAACAGATCTATCAATTAAACGAGATTATGAAAAGATCAGAAATAGCCAATTATGAGGCATTCATAAACTCGGAGCACACAGCTGGTCACTAATATATCAATCAGATGCTTTGAAGAAGGTGCACTATGTAATAATGAAGATTATGGTTGTGTTCAAACCCTAAAACGTTATATACTTAAGCCATTTTGGTGTGATTGTTTCCAATAAAATGTGTACTCTTGTGATGAGCTTTTAAATTCGTGAAAGACGCTTTTACGCACTACACGAATACTGTGCATTTAAACTTGCCTATGATGGAGATGTATCAGCTGAAGGTCTATATACATAATGATTAAATTTAGGAAGATGTACTGATGACTACAAAAAAGGCTGTGAAATAAATGTCCGGCAATAACCTAATCTTGTGGTGCATTTCGCGCTTCGTTGTCTTTAAGACTTCTACAACCCAAACTTTCTGTTATTTTGGCGCACTTAAGAGCACAAAACCGCACTGTCAAATAAATGACAAGAGAACTTAATAACAATATAATGTCTTTCCTGATACTGAAACCTGGGTACTAAATGTAGGAGACACAATGCATTCAAATAAGCCTGCATTCAGGTCTCATTGGAATATTTTTTGCATGCGGGATTAAGCTCAAGTCAGGTGAATGTGTGAGTCTTAATGACGGAGCTGTAGACTTTGCACAGGAGTGCAGCAGTCGAGGTTGCCATGCATCTAAAACTACATGTGAACGTAGAGGGAAGTTTCAGAGATAATATAATTAGCAAGAACAAAAGAATCGATATATTAATGAAAATTTAGTGTACCTGAGTATTCATTATGAATGAAAACATCTTCAACTTTGAGAACAATTTTCATTCATGTTACCAACAGTTTGAAGATGCAGGTTCTTAGCCTCTCAACGAACCCAAGCAGAAAGTCAACACCTCCCATATGGGCGCTCAATCCAGCAGGTTTTGGTCTTACTACCCATTAATCTCATCCAACAAAATCCGGTGTCATACAACACTGCTGAACAAGCGAGGTGATGAACTGTCCAAGTCATCTCACAAACATAAAGGAGGACGTAGCGAACTGCTGCTGTGCAGCACACACGTCCTTCGATTGACAGCCGGATACCACGTCTACTAAGCCAGAGACTGTAAATTGGCTAATGCCAAACAAGCCTTCTGTATCCAGTGATCAACTTGCTGATGGAGCTGATACAACTTCCTAAATGCGTGAAGTGGTCAACACACGTAGCCAACACTTCACTATCTATCTATAAGCTAGGAATTAGTCACTGTTATTCAATCCTGTAGCATCATCTTACATTTGACAGCAGGAGCGAATCACATGCCAAGTATTCGAAGACTGATACTCAAAGTGTTGAGAAGACTCTGCATTTTGTCAGCTAGGAGCAGCACTATATCATCTGCATGTTCTAAGTCAACGAGATTATTCCTTGATGGTAACAAGTCAATAGCTGACTCGCTGAAGTCAGTCAGGGCTAAGTCCATTAGTACATCTACGGTGATGTATTTTCTCCCTTCACAGGCAGTCATTGCCACAGCACCACTTGGTCGACAGAGTTGAATGACGCCTGCAGGTCAACAAATACGGCGATTGTTGGACCCTGGCATGTATGGCTATTTTCCAAAATCTGTCAAGGGGCGAAGACCTGATCAATACACCCTCATCCTGATCTAAAGCCTGTGTGGTTGCTTCGCTTTCGATTTCCAGACTATCGCTCAGGCCAAGCATGTCCACTGAACCTGGAATGTTTTATAGTATGTTTGTCAACCTGATCTCCCTATAATTATAACAAAGATTTTTCTCCTATCATCACTCTCGAAGCTCCTGGGAATAATTCGTTTTACGTCTGTCGGTTCGGGTGAGGTAATAGAAATCTACTGACTTTTGGTTTTAGGTTACTAACAACCCCAGCCAACGGTTGCATGTCGCTGTGTGGTCTATTTGAGTCCGATGTTGATATGGTGATGGAGGTCGCCAGGTTAGGTAATGACTCTCTTTGTGTCTGAAGTTATTTCTGATTAGGAATAGATGATTATCTGAGCAGAACTGTAGAAGACGACTACCGTGGTCTGCTCTTCGGCAGGGAACTTCATACTTGCCACCTCCATACTTCTCAGTCTGGCCTAACTTCCCTACTTAAGCATTGAAGTTGCCTGCTAAAACGACTTTGTCTCAGAGTTTTGCATTTTGCAGTAAACTAGACAATTTTGGAAAAAATTATCCTTTAACTCATCCGAATTGCAGTGGATTCGAGCGTATGTAGACATTATGAAATGACATCGACGGGTAACGCAGTCCTTCCTTCTCCTAACGGATCCATTCAGACGGACGGAACACTCACGACTATCGACTAGGATGTAGTCCAGAAGTGATTTTCCCGCCCAAACAATCAATGCTATCTCTACACTAACGAGTCGTCGCGAACTGACTGAAGAATCTCCTGATAACCTTATGGTGGATTTTGCAGATTCGCATTGTCTATTTAGCGTCAAGTGAATAACTACATTAGGCTCTGAAACACAACATACGTTCATGGCTCGAGATGCTAATGGTGCCTGATGCCCGATTTGGCAGTGTCCTGAAGTTAAATGCTTCAATGTGAAGTTGGCGGCGTGTCTTTAAGAGGCTATTGGGGATTTTTTCCTGGCTCTTATCGTCACAGAATGAAATGAAAATGACTCACTAGCCTGAAGAGTACTGTTGATAGTAGTAAGGAAGCAAGATGATGAGGTTGACAGGGATAAGGGAGAATGATGACCAGGACGGCTTTGTGTACTTTTCGGAGTGTGTGATCGGTTATTACTTCCCGGCTGCCCACACAGTGGATATTGTTTTTCTTGGGGTACCTGAAATAGAAATGGCAGAGCCCAGAGGATAACTGTTTGAGGTCGGTCACCCATGGCCTGTGTGAACTGGCTTTCTGGTTTGGTTCCGTATTAGTAACTAACCGCCTGCTACGGACCACCGTAAGTTAAGTCGGGATGTACAAGTCTTGCTGTCGACCTCTTCTTCCTCTCCAGAGTGGAGAGACAGGATAGCTGCCTATCTGAGGGGTACAGCTTGCTGCTGCTACACCCCTATTTGCTAGCAGTACGACTTTGTCCACAGACCCCCAGAGTAGGGTAAAAAAAATCTTACGCAACGTAGGTAACTGCTTTTAGTCTAATCTCTGCACTGACAACCTCCTGGCATGTTAGGATCTACAGGAACATTACTTCCGGCGAGTGTATTTTGTTGTCTGACTAGCATGTGCAAGTCTGACCTGAACGTCAAGGTAGCAGCTATATGTTGTGTATCAACTTCTAGAACACTGTTGCATGCATTGTAAGCCACTGGTCGTTGTATTTCCTGATACTAAGATTGCCTTTTATCCATAGGACTGCACTGTTCTGTCACAGAGTGGCATCCCAGACAAAACTGTCAGCTTTAGTTCCATTATGGATAAGATTTTATTTTGATAAATCACAGTGTTGTACAGTAATATTAACTGGTGACGTTTCGAGCACATATTATTGCTCATAATCATATCAAGTCACTCAAAAGCAATTGAAATCTTATCCATAATGGAGTTATACTCTACCACAAAAAAAAGGTTTTATACCTATGTCAGTTTTGATTGTCAGATTTTTGTCACGAAATAACACCAATTACAGGGATCATTGAGAACCAAGTAGCACTATATAGCTATTCCATTCTACCTTGGGATTATTCATCAGTGAGCAGCCACCACCGCGCTAGGAATCGAAGCCGGGACCTACGGTTTACGAGAAAAAATTCATTAACCATTTAGCCTCTTGAGATGGAATCTAGTAACCCCTGAATTCAAAATTTGTCAGCCCATGATATAGCACTGCCATTAACAAGGACTTCGAAGGGCATCCACTTCACCTTAACACGGTGGACGCCACTAGTCATGAATTCACACTGCAGCTTGAGGAAATCCATCTAGTATCCATCAGTGAGCTGGTAATTGATATTGAAATTATGAGATTTGTATATGAATTCCAGTTGTTAGATTTTCGACACGAACTAACATCAATTTGGAGATAATTGAAAACCAGTGTGTACTGGACACCTGATACGTTTTGTTGAGGAGTGCCAAAATAGGACCTACATTTATTGAGACAACTGGTATTAGAAATAAAAGTTAATAGAATAGGTGGATGGTCCTGGTGTGGTTTTCTCTGAGACGGATAGTTTAACAGAAAAGCTTGAGGTGCCTTTCTGAAAATCGTCTTTAGTACTAACTTTTATGTGGAGCTCAGAATACACAACAGCACCAAAACAGCTGATATTCTCTCCGCATATTTATTCAATGATTGCAGTGGAAGTAGAAATAGATAGGTTAGTAAAGGTCAGTAGTAACCAGACCAAGATGTTACACCAATACGTGTTTGAAAACAGAAACAGAAGACGCCAAATGTCAAAGGGTAAAACGAAACATGACTTTTCTTTAATGGCTGCTAACTACACCCTTTTACACCCACATTCATAGTTCCAATTTTTTACTGTAATATCGATTAATTTATGCTTCTCCGATGTGATGCTTTGCAGTGATATTTCTGCATAATTAAGTTCGACTACATTTACGATGGAATAAAACTGCACATTACAGTTACAAATTACACCCAGTATTCCGTAGTTTTATAAAGACAACGAATGTATCCCATCTCAGCACTAAAGAATATTTAATACAAATAAAAGACAAGATATTTAAAGGAATTCATTTTTTTAAATCATGAAAAATGTAAACGCAAATTAGAGGATCAATATTAAATGACGGGGATATCCACTTTTGAAGAATAAATCATTTCTACAGTTTTTGGCAGAACCATACAGCTAAGTAAACTCCCACCAGTTAACAAGTGCGTTAAACAAAACAAAGTAGACTGGGCAAGTTAAAAAAAGGATAGTCATATAAAATGTAATTTACGGCTCGTAAGGTTCAAAGGTGTGAATGAGGATAAGATTACAAAAGATATTTCAACCAGATAAACTAAAACATATATATATTACATCGAGGTAGACTACAAACGTTAACCAACTCGAATGTGGAGGGTTGGTAAAAGTGTAGCAGTGCTTCTGACCACAAAAAAATACTTTGACGTGTCATAGATTGCACAATATACAGTAGTTTTATTTGAAAGAATATAAGAAATATGAAACCAAGTGCGTCGTTAAGTAAAAATCAGCTACATGGCCTGAGTTATTGGATGAGCATAATGAGTAACGAAAAAACGGTTATACTATTAAAGTCAAAGTATCACATTTTATTTTACATTAAATTACGACACAATATTCGCAATTATTGCATCTCTTCAGAAATTGCCGAAAGGCAGAAAATATGAGGTAGGCGAGTTGCAAGGAACTAGCAAAACCGTAACTTCATTTCGTCTATTGGTTCACTAAAAAACAAACAATAAGATACGATTTCAAACACAAGTATTATGGTGAAAAAAAATACGAAGTATATATATATCATGCATCTTAGTTTAATAACAGCCAACAAAACGGATAAACAACACCCAAAATTAACGTTTTTAAAATATGGTGTTGGTTTTAAGTGTAACTGTCTTACCATTTAGGGGTGACTAGTGAGTGTAAAACCAGAAGACGCTGTTGAAATTCTCGGAGGAGGTGGAGGAGGAGCATTATTTTGATGGTGAGAAATACAGTGTGAACCCAATGGTCGCATCTCCTGCATACTTGCATTCAACGGAGTACAACTGCTACTACTGCTACTTTTTGAACTCAGCATAGAGTTTCTTTGAACTGAATCTTGTGTCTGATGCTTATTTATATCTGAATTATTAGTAGATGCATTCTGTTTAGGATTTCCGAAAGAAGTTGAACTTGAACCAGTGGATGATGCTGCAAGCTCATGTTGTTGGGATATATCATTACCATCGGGGAAAAAAGTATGTTTTAACCTAGACTGGTGCAGTGGGGCACCACTAGCAACCGATGTCATGAGGGTCTGTGCCAAATTTGAATTCGACTGGGAATGCTGTTGCTTTAACGACCGTGAATTCGGCAGAAGAGGATCTTGCTGCCGAGAATGAGTGAATCCAGGAGCCCCAAGACGGTTTGGTGCAGATAAATCGGAAGGGCGCGTTTTATTATGTTCAGGGATTTCACGATCAAAGTGATTTGATCCGCTGCTGGTGCTGGATGTTGAACTAGAATAACCTGAAAAGGACAAATTAAAACTTGAGATTAAAGCTACCTGACATAAGAAAAGTCCACTGAAAAAAAAATTCGTTTTCACCTAGTGGTAAATCGAATGCGCATAGAATTGAAAGTTACTCTAGAAAAGATACATCAAGACTAAAAATTATTGCAATTTTGGAGTACAATCAACTTTATCTGATTACTTTAGAAAGCATCATAGTCTAAAAATTAGCAGCAAATCTTCAAAAAATAGGAACACCATCCTATCGATTCAATTCAGAGCAACAAAATACAGCGAAGAAAAATTTAAATAAAACCGATTGTGTAGGTTTATACTATGGAACATAAATAGATGGCACAAGTAGACTTGGTGAAAAAAATGCAAACATACATATCATAAGACTTTACAACACCTGATCACTAAATTTTTTGAAATATAAGCAAACACGGGGTAGCACTTTTCAGTGAGAAGAATATCATCTGTTTACCTCAAGTATACTAAATTAATTGACAATCAAATTTTTCTATAGTTTTTACTGAAGTGAGCAAATTGACTGTTACGCAGTACTGACTTTCACTTTTTTTATGTAAATCAAGTTATGACAAAATTAGGCTCAAAAAGTTCAAGGGTCTGAACTGGAACAGTAAGCTTAGTAGTTATCTGATTGATTAAGAAACTCGCTAGTTGAGATTACTAACACACAAAAAAACTGTAACTGACCTGATATATTATCTCTGTTCCCATCATTCAACCTGGATAAATTGTGAGACTGCTGGAGATTTATATTAGCTGCTACATTCTGGCCGTCTGCGATCAACTGACGAATAGGAGCCGCTAGTGGTGCAGCCGGTGGATGATACATTGGTGGTACTGTACTGTATTGACTGCTATTTCCTTCTCTAATTCCTGACCCGACAACCCCATGGGGAACAGTGTGACCTGTATTATATTCTTGCATGCTAGTATTTGGACCAGGTCTGACAGTTAGACTGGTACTTGTTGTGTTATGACCCCAATTAGAATGAGGGAGAGCACCAACTTCACTGACACTATCAACTTCTTCTAAGCTTAGACAAGACATAACTGGAAAGAAATGAATATTTAGAGTAAGTATATTTAACAATATCAATATACAAATATTAAAAAGCCAAGAAAACTAAGAAAACAGCTGACAGGAGAAGGTTATTTACTAGTTTTATCGATGAAATTGACTGTACCGATGATCAAATAAATATCGAAACCAAGAGGTAAATACACTGAAGTTGATTTAATTATAATTGACCCTATATGACTTAACAACCGTCACAAAAAAGGAATATGACCAGGCGAACTCCAGAAAGAACTAAATAAAGTCTATTATTACAGGGAATTCTTGCAACCGCCCAATGAATATGCAGGAGAAAATGAAAATAGGTTGGACATACGCTGTGGAATCCGTTTAGTGATATTAAGCACCAAGCACTAGAGGAGGATCCGAATGGAAAACAACGAGCTGAGCGTCCGAGAGTGAAATGGAGATCTTGAGGTGGAAATGAAAATCTAAGAGTAACCGTGAACCCAGATGAAAATGACTGCAGAGAGTAGAGTGAAATGAAGATGCGCTGCTGGGGCCCAATATTCTACTCAGAACCCAAATCAATAAAATTGAAAATATAATGATGATAATAATGACTCATTTCACGTCATAAATGTATGGTGGTAAACAACTGTAAAATCTCGAATTAATTAAGATGATTTACTTACGTCCACTAATATCCCGAAAGACGTAGTAGCACTGTTCTGAGAAAGTTAGTTTATTTACAATATGTCGAATGTATCCTAATTTCAGCAGATTGGATGCATACTTTCTAGCTTCTCTACGATCAGTGAGACCTTCCAAATGCCTGAACAGCCAGTCAACAAGATCAGAACCTGTAGATAAGAGATGAAATAAAAACGGTGTAACATAACTAAATCACAAGGTTAAAAAATTAATAAAAATAGCCAACAAAACACAAATGTGGAAGTACTACATCCAATAAAATGCATAGTTCAGCACAATTCTATGATCGCAATGTTCCAATTCATTCAACAACTTTATGACAGACAGATCGACGGCATCGCCATGGGTTATCCGTTAGGCCCAGTTTTGGCAGATTTCTTCCTTGCTAAGCTTGAAAGTGGTCCACTGAAACAAGTCATAGATAAAACGGATTCCTACTTTCATTATCCTGATAATATATTGATTATTTTTGATAAGAAAGACCAGAAGAAGGAAATGGTAATAAAATCTAATGACGCACATCCACCGCTTATTTTTATTTGTGAAGAACATCATGGTAGGTTAGACTTTCTTAATGTCTAATTGAGCAGAAGAGAGGATGGTTCACTCAAAAGAGATGTCTATAGAGAACCTACGTCTGTAGGAAAAAATACACATTTCTTCAGTGTCGTACCTTTCCGATACAAAATCAGTTTGGTCAGATGCCCGCGAGTAGAGCAAGAAGGATCTGTACTGATGAGTCCTTAGAAAGTGAATTAGGATAGCTCCAAAATACACTGGTCCAAGTGGGTTATCTTAGTAGATTTGTGAGGATACACATGAATACTGTGCATAACCAACTAGGGTTAGAAATAAACTATTGTCCCTGAAACTGTCATTCAATGGGGAAGTGGCTAGTGAAGTCCTACATCAAAGATTATCTAAAGCCTTAAAACAAATTTATGCTGCTCTCAAACTTTGTCATTCGCCAGCCAACCAAAGACAAGGCACCTAGCTATGCCGCTTCCATGTGAATTTATAAGTTTAGTTGCTCCTGAGGAGAAAGAAATATTTAGGGCCGACAACGAGACAGATCAATAAAGGTATCACTAAGTATCTTCCTTCATGATTCAGAAAAGGCCAAATAAAATCCATAAGAAGCTCTTTTTGTCTTATTTGATTGACAGCGGTTACCAAATGGATAGAAGTGCCCTCAAAGTTAACTATCGCATTCCATACAGCCTTCGGACAGATTTCACAATCGCTTTTTATACATAGCCAAAGCTGTGGGAATTTGAGAGAACAATCCTAGTCTTTGCATCCAAAAGAAGTTTTTTTCTACCTTTATCTCTTCCTTGGCCTTGATAGAATCTAATTAAAACTTCCCACCCTTTTTTATTCTTCATTTCCTTCGTACTTTTATGGTATTTATATAAACTCTGATGGTGTGTCCACCTTACCTTTAGTATTACTTGACTTTTAAGATTTGACCTAATTTATTTATTAAATTGTGTGCATACTCATACTACCTTCATTATTCTTCCCACCACCTGCACAAATTCTCGTATTTTTGTTATCACTAGACTTATCATCATTATTTTTGGTATTATTATAATCATAGTTATTACTGCCATTCCAAACATTTAACGCTTATTACTATATGATCCATAAACTCACCGTCGCTGGTTAAATTTTTTATATATGAAGGCTATGTACATTTGAATGTAGCCTGAAGATCTAAATGAAAACAATACTGTTCGCTTATATGTCTTCTTTTCATTTTAGCAATCAGCATATTTAGCAATTTGAGGTAGGTCTCTGATGAATATATCGAAGTTAAAAACACCAAGATTGTGACGATCATTTTTACATAGTTAAACTCGACAAACTGTTGAGGAAAATCTGATAGAGGAAAAATATTTCAAGAATAATAACCTACGGAAACCGTTAATAAACCGGTACTCATGACTAGCAGAAAAGTAGAAAGCTAATTAAAACTAACCTATAAATGCATTTGGTACAGTTAACTTGAGCCAGACACGGTCCCGAATATCCAGACCAGAATCCGGTTGCAGCATAGCGCGAATTACGGTCGGAATACTAGTTGATAAACTTAGTGGGATAGGGTCCGAGTATCGTTCAATTTCAGGCAGAGAGCTCGATGCAGTAACAACACTAGGAGCAATCTGAAAATAACAAGGAATATATTAGTGTAAAGAAAAATTTATGCACGAATCTTCAAATGAAACGAATCATATGAAGTAGACATATGTGGTTTACAAGGCATCATAAAAAACTACTTAGAATATCATGCGTAACCTCAGAAAAAAAGGATTTAGCCACCATGATTGTCCTAAAATGCAGCACAGTAAAACCTGAATCCTAGATTTCTTACCTACTACGTAAAACACTGAATTTGATGTAAACTACTTAAAAGATGGACTGAATAACACAGCAAAATTAAGGTAGCTACAAAGCATTAAAGAAAAGTGTCTAGTATCATAAATCCTAGTTTAAGTCCCAAAATTACTAAGAAGCTGTCTAACTCCTCACGTCGTATGATTACTCTATCGGACTCTAATGACGCAAATCATACATTAAATTGTACTACCTCCTGACCTCATATTTCTATTCTCAGCAGTGTATCCCTGTGAATATGGAAAATGGACAATTAGTTATGTTTTTTTTACCTGCTGAGTATAACCATGAGGAAGCATCACATTTGACGTAGGATAAAATGTAGGTTGGGGCAAATGAATCCGCTGCTGAATTAACTGCTGCTGTTGCATTTGCTGTTCCTGTTCTTGTTGCTGCTTTTGCTGAGAAGCTGCAAGTAAAGCAGCCATATTAAAAGCTGCTGCACTTGTGCCTAAAGGCATTGAAGTTTGTCCTGAAGTTAAAGTACCCATACTCATCCCAGGAGTAAGACCGGGTGGACTAAGGGTAGAACTTGACTCACCACCTGATGAAGCGCCAGTTATAGAAGCCCCATTAACTTGTCTGTGTGAATCTCCTCCTTGAATATGAGACTCCGGCGTAGTCATTGCATTAGTATGTAGCACCCAGGCACGTGGATCAATAGGATGTACAGGTTCTTGACGCGGTACCGTGAAATAACGTTCGGCTGGATTAGGATCCCAGCACTTAGCGACAACTAGAGTTATAGGCCTAAAAAGTAATCAAAGTGGGATTGCTGAAAACAGAACAATACAATCCGTCAACTTGGATCCATAGGACATAATAGTAAGATCTTCACAAAAAGCCGTGACAAGAAACTCAACATCACGCATAAGTGATGGTGCATAAACACAGAAAAATTTGCAAACCACTCAAAAATTGCAATGATTTACATTTCCGGGTTTGACGTAAAGTCCCTAAAATGGAGACTCACTAATCTTCATCTCAATTTATTAAGAATATGTGCATCTTGTGAGAGAAACATTACATAAACAAGAAAAACTGAATGATTCTCTGAGTGATGTAAGGCATTTGTAGACTAGTTTTATTGGCTCATGAGTGCTGCTTTCATATATTGTCTTCAGTTGCGCTTGATTTACGCTACTGATTAGATTTCCTTCACTTATAGACATAAGATTCACCACAAGTAAATCTACTTAATGCACCTTTTTGCACTTATTTAAGCCAGCGAGTTACAGATAGAACTTCGTTCTACCAACTGAGATTTGGGCAGCCTCATAGCATCATCAGTGTGCAATTAATACATAATATATAACTCATTATCCAGTATATTGATATGTATGTAGTTGATGAGTGAGAAAATAATCATTTCCAGTCAATGCCTTACAATCTTTGGCAGGTTACATTCATTGTAATACTAACAACGTATTTCATCACTTGAACCCGGTATTAAGAAAAGATACCAAATAGACAAAGAAAATCACAGGTAACCTTAAAGGATTGTAGGCAAGGTATGATTGGTTACATAAGAAATATTCGGAGATGGAGAGTCAGAATTGGCACTTAAACTGACGATATTTTTAGACTAGGTATATGAGTGAAGATATGGCTCATTGGCTTAAGTACTCAACCTTTCAGCCGATGCATCACGGGTTCGAATTCCACCCTGCCTACTTCAGCATGGGAAGCTTGGTATTATCATCAACCCTCACGATGGGTGTGGTCCTTAGCCTGGTAAGTGAAAAATCTGTTCCGCATATAATTGAGCTTAAAAAAATTGAAGGATATGAACACCATTACTTTTAACAGGCCTCAATCATTTATTGTCACAATCTCTAGAAACTTAGAAACATTTTCTTACGATATTATTAGTCTCATAAATAGTTTTCTAAGTCCAATAGTTCATAATTATATGACGTACTGACCACAGCTAGGGAATAAGAACACCACTTTTCTGAAAAGCCACAATAACCCTAGTGGTTTGGTGATGGACATACGAATCTAACAAAAACGAAATATTTGGCATGCTGTATTACGTCTAACCGGAGGACTGTGACACAAAGTGATTAAAAGTAAACCTGAAGAAAATATTTTTTTAGTCAAATAACTACATAAGTGAAAAGACGTTAGCTATTCGAAAACGTTACAAACTGAGATGACTGAGCGATAAAGAGTGCTCGCTTACTAACAGTCTGCGCAACGTACAGCTAACGGATAAGGATAGGTTGGAAGAAAGAGAATTATGACTAAGACGTTGTAACCAATAATTAGGCAGTTCAGTACTGATTTGAGTAGTAGTGCAGGATGTTTGTCCGAGTCATAATTATAAGCTATTATCTACGGTCATATGTACTGGTACAAAGTGCAGAAAAGCAGGAGCATAAATGTCTTCATTTTACTCACAATCTCAAATTTTCTCATTCAATTTACTTTTCACTTGGAACAATGTGAGACCTCAATGGATTGACTTTCATCTTACTGTTCATGTTACCTATGCAGGAGGTTCAGTGACTTGAGCCACTTAGTAATGCTATGTTGATAATTCGTGTTCATTTGAGTAGTAATAGGTGTAATGAAGACTGTTATAGAGCAATCAAGAAGTTAAAAATCTTCGCAGTGTTCACAACCACCCCAACTAGGGTTTCTACTATTCATTAACTAACTAAAAGCCATGAGGTTTTTTAATTAACGTTTGGTCGTAGGTTACCGCCATCACTGACATTTTCGTGATAAGCTAAGCAAGTTAAGTCACTATGACAGTGAATGCTGCGCCGATAGATGATAGAGCATCTTTCCCCTGAATGTATTTTATTTTTATTTTTTTATTTTTTATTTTTGATTTACAGCTTGATTTCCACACCGTATTTTCAGTACAAGTGTGGAACTTTCAGCATGGATATCGGTTGCCCAAATTCAGGCATACCATAGATATCGGGTGTGCGCCGGCAGGGGTTCGAACTCGGACCATGTGCATGGTTGGCGAGAGTCCTAACCACTGTGCCACCGACGCACATGTAAGCGGAATATGCTCATCAGTGAATTAAACATGGAAAGATTTTCCGGTTTCTAGTCGTCCAAAGACACATTTGTGCAGCGACATCTAAGTAGGTACTCAAAAAACGTGATTACGTTTGTTAGATGCACAGTGACCACACTTCCTCCTACTCTTCCCTTTTCCGAGGGATAGGACAATTGAATTTAACGTAATAACAGACCAAGGGAGATCATAAATTGTCACTACATATTTTCAAGACCAACAGCCCAGTGTTCTTCTCAGACTTACATTTTAATACTAGTTATATTCAGAGATTTTATTCTAATACATTTAAACATGGCTGACGATATCTACGACCATGAAAAGCAAGTACACCAACCTACAAACTTCGACTAGATCATTGTAGGTTGCTTTCGGAAAACACAAATTAGCCGTCAAATTATTAGTTACTATTAGAAAGAATATCAACTAACCCAGGACGTTGAACTTGTTCCCTTAATGTACGCACAGCATCGTCATTACTCATTTCCTCGAAGCTGATCCCATTTGCCTCTAGAATCATGTCACCAGGCTCGATTCGTCCATCTTGGGCAACAGCGCCGCCTTTCATAATAGACCCTACATAAATTCCACCATCCCCAGCCTTATTTGACTGCCCAACAATACTGATCCCCAAAAAGTTAACGGTATCCATATTTAGTGTAACTGCCATAATATTTAGCGACATTGTGGAATCTGTAATACTACTGAATGAAGAAGCCTGTAAGATGAAGAACATAAAATCAACTTTTAAGGCGGTAAAAGTTTAAAATTAAAATAATACGTATCTGCTTACCATAAAAACTCAAAAACCGAATCAAGTTGAACGACAAAAAATTTAAAATGAAGAGTGGAAAATGTTCATTATTGTTGATGGTTCATATTTATAGCCAATAAAACGAAACAATGATATTTGAAGGGATTCTTCCGAAAAATGTTTTAGGAAGACAGATGATGACATTACCTGCCAACGGATTTGTATATCTTCGATTATCAGAAGCTGAAATTACCAGCTATGGGTAAAGAGTCAACAGACTCGACTCGAAACCTGAAGCTCCTGGATTTGATCTCCGTTGGGATCATTAGTGCTGCTAAAAAATTCCAAACTAAGATAAAAGAGATATCAAGCACCCTTCCCCGGTTTACAGAGGCTCTCCAAATGATTTCGTTCCCTTATCGAACTGAAATTAGTCAAATCGCCGCAAACCAACACTTGCGGATTAGATAATACCTATAATAAGATATACAACCTCAGAAACGTCATGTTTGTGACCTGAGATTCTCAATGTTCACCTGAGGCGTGCACTTAAAACACTATTAATTAAGAAAATTTTCAACACAATTTCTTGTATATTTCTACCATATGAATTTTGAATTACTGGATGAACTTGATTATAGGAGATAGTATTTTGAATAACTTCATACATTTCTTTATTTGATAATTCTGAACAAAGAAATAACAAGAACATTTGCAGAATAAAGTGATTTCATTTTATTTCATAGACCCTAAGCCTGAACAACGATGAATATTTCAGTAATAAATTACTTTCAGCAACTAGATGCATTAGAGGTATCACAAAACTAGTTAGTTAAATATCAAAAACAAAAATGAAGGATTCCAGTTAACATTATTTACAGATTTTACTCGGTAAGAGTTTCTGAAAATTTAAACATAAACACGCACGAATGGAGTAACAGAATGGCTAGCGAAAGAAACCAATTTGAAAAATGAGGTAACTCTAATCAAAAACCAGAATATAGCAAACAAAAATTATAGTTACTGGAGTACGATAACAATACTAAAATATTTGATAGGAAAAGACAGAATCCGGCAGGGTAGGACTGGCACTTAGTGCTTATTCAAATTTTTTTTAAATCAGAAAACACCAGTATGACGTTTCATTTCTATACAGTGTTCGAAGATATTATATATGCAACATACTCACTGCATGTTAGATACAGCTTTCGCTTATGGAACGTGTTCGGATACTACTCTCGAAATTCTTTGTGTATTAGCAGTTGAACAAGTTATTTCTCTTTACCTCAGACTACGATTACAGGACACGACATGATGTAAAATGAAATTAACCCTAAATAACGTTATCACAGCATTTTAACTCTATCCTTTTCAGAATAATAGACGAACAACACTGATATTTTAACAACTATACATACCATACAGGTGACGGCGGTTTACTTTAGATAAATACATCACAGTTTCAGTTGAATTAAGCTATGTCGTGACGTAGCAGTGGTGGACGGTATGTTCGGTTTCGCGTTGACCAGCATAGCCGAGTTCCTTGGGTACTTGGTTAGTCAGCTCTGGTGTGGACCTATAAGGTGAGGTGAAGAAGGACTCCAATTTATGGGTGTCATTTATCAGTCGTAAGAGGCCCCATTTAGTACAGATGTACTATGTAGAGGCGGATAAATCCTGTAGTTATTTAGTTGACGGTTGAGCATTCCCGTGACAACAGATGAGTTTTTCAATGTATTTCATGAGAGTAACCCGTACGCACTGACACTGTGCATCACATTATTGATACTGACAGTTTCCCACCTGTGCGTCAACCACCCAAGTGGATTCCGTTTACTATGAGAATCAGTCAGATACCTTGGTACAAGATATGTTGGACAAGATCGTCGTACCTTCATCCTCTCTATCGGTGTGACCTATTGCCCTAGTAAGAAAAAAAGATCGTTCCATCTTAATGTGAATGTTGATTACCAAAAACTTAACGACACCACACGACGCGATTCCTTCCCACTTCCTCACACTAACACAACTTCAGATATACTTACCATAGGTAAATGGTTATCTACTCTAGACATTGCATCTGGGAACAGACAGGTGGTGCACCAGAAAGATTGTCCGAAAAGCGCATTTGTGTTACCAACTAGACTATGAATTTCGTACGAATTCACTTGAAAAACTCGGGAGTCAATTCTGTGACCCACGAGGAACAACAACTACTGAGACTTGATATTGACGAAAACTTACGGACTGATAGGTTGTAAGGATTCGACAGCCCACTTTAAACTGTGGAATTCTCCTGAATACACGTTGTTGCCGAGCATATATCCTGCATTCACTTCTTGTCCGGCTGTCGGTAAGTACATATATAATTTCTCTAAGGGTATATATTTTCCCATGTATCACGATAAATTGAAAGCATTTACTCGCACCTACAAAAGCCCTCAGGATAATTTTTCCTTCTACGCATTGAAATCTGTCCAACACGCACGCAAACACAAATGAAGTCTCCAAAATTAATGACAACAAACTTTGACACACACACACACTAATCTATTCCTATGGATGGTTTTCTTACTTGTAACATAATCGCTGTACTATATATCGGTTTAAAATTTGGATTTCATTTTAACATAGGATTTTTTTAATAGCAATGATATTAAGAGTGTGTTGGTGTTAAACATCTAGAGTTTATGGTTATTGAAAAAAAAGTAACTTAATACAATGCATATATGTATATACATACAGATGTACACTTAAAATGGGTTCATACGAGAAGCTATTTACTTAGGACGACTTACTCTGCTGATTGGTGGCGGACGCCTACGCCTTCGTCGTCGTGGTGCGCGACCATATCGGCGAGAAGATAAAGTTGTCCCAGTCACCGAAGAAAACCTTGGTCACAATGGGAAATAAAAGTTATTGGAAATCCATGACCAATATATAGAATGTTCTACAAAATAGTTACGACCATCTGTAAAACCACACGTAAATCAACTAACCTGCTAGATTCTTCTTCAGAATCTAAAAAGCTAGTAGACTCTAGATCAGAGCTCATCATGGAAGGAGTTTCATACGTACTTGAACTAGGTAAGTGGCGATAATGACGGTGACGTGAGCCGCTGTGAGCAGCTTGCTGAACATGATGGCCACAGTGGTTACTACCTGCTGCATAATGATGTCTACCACCTTGAGAAAAAACACCAAAAGAATAGTCGTCTAATTAAATAGAGATGAGTTTCGTTCATATAAACTTGTAAATACACTCAATAGAGCAACAATAAACGTAAGACATTAGAAAACAGATTTTAAAAGATTTGACTAGTAAGGTACACTAAACTGTTTAAATACAAGCAAAAAGAGTGAATAACGTTTCCTGGTCAATACAAAGCCGATGAATTAGTACTAGTAAAGTGTTGATTTTTGAGTGAATCTAACCTGACTATTGCCTTTCTTACCTTTTAATTAAATTAAATTTGCTCCAATTGAATAGGACAACGATACAGCGATGTTATGTACTGTAGGTCGGTATTTATTTATCTGAATAATTCGTGAAAACCGACATAAGAGC